AGAGATAAATGAGTAGCTGGTGGGGTTATGACAAGAATTGGCCTAGGCTTTGCCTTTTTCAATATTAGTCTCGAAAGAATTGAGAACTAATAGATTATGTGGTATGCCCGGATTTTGAAAGTTTGGAACAGGATTCTTATGTTCTTTTAATCTTGACACAACTCTCATCAATTCTTTTAGCTCACAACAGCTACCCCTCTCATTTTCATTTTAGTCTCAGCACACAAACCCTTTTGTATTTAAGCTCACTCAGATATGGTTGTCCTCTTGGGTAGGTCTGTCGGTTTTGACATTCCATAGAGGTATTTCTGATAAGCACTCAGTCCCTCCTAAAATACTGTAAGCTCAGTTGATCACAATGATTGATCAAGATTATTATTGCATATAAAGCACAAAAATCAGATAAAACTGATCAAAACATTTTTTTGGCTACACAGACAATGAAGAATGATGCGACAACAAACAGATTATTCGGTATATGAGAGAAATGAATGAAGATCTGTAAGAACAAGTTTACATATTCTGATATTCAAAAAAATTATTGAATTGTATATCAATCAAAGTAAAAAAAATATCAGAAAACAAACTTTGAATACAAAAGAGTGTATTATCACCGAAAATGATTTTCTTATAAGAGACGTGATAATAACAGTTTGAAGAATAGCTGAAACAGGTATTGGAGTTATATTCGATGAGAAATTACACAAGTAAAATTTCAGGAAATACCTGTTCAGAGAATGTACTCGTTTTCTCAAAACAAATTATTTTCCAAAAAAACATTTAGTGAACTTTCTAGAGACTCCCCATAGAAAGTAGATTATTGAAATGATTCGATTCAGCTTAAAAAATTTTAAAAAATAAGAAAAACGTGTTTAGCACGGGTCCTAAACTGTGTGTTTAGAAACCACACTCGGTAAAGCACGGGTTCTAAACTGAAATGTTCAGAAGCCTCATTTGGAAAAAAATACAACTCCCCCTGCATTGGTGTATCACTGAAATGATATTCTGATCAGCACAAAATTAACACACCTGCAAAACCAAATTAAGTAGATTTTGGTGCCCAAATGAATTTGGGTCCTATTATGTTAGTATCGGGTTGGGGTATGTTATAACTTCCAAACCATTTATTCTTATATGATGTATTCTTTTTAGCACTTTGAACAGGATGATTAGAAATAGAATATGAGCCATACCAGTTATTGTGATCATACATGTTCTTACCTTTCCAAACTTTCTGATATTTGTTGTCTGTACTCCATCTGTTATATATCTTATTGTTCACAAAATCTGTTGATTTACATGTGGAGCATGTAACGCCCCAACCCACATATATTGCATGTAACACATATTTCATACCAAAGAAA